GCCCCTACCCCCGAGGAAACCTCACCCTCTGCTTTCCAGCCCGCGGGACAGACCCCGGGGCCCCCCCCGCCACCCAGCGCCAGGGCCCCGGACCCCCCGTCCCGCGGGCGCCGGGGCGGCCGCGGCTCCTTCTCCTGCTGCTTCCCTCGGAGGCCGGGTTTGTATTCGCGTTCGCAGTTTGCAGGAGGACGGCTCGAAGGCTTGCGCTCGTCCGCCTCTCCGGCCGGCGATTGACCCGGCCCCAGAGCACTTAAGAGGCTGGGAGTAGCGAGGGCACAGAGGCACAAACCACATGCAAACAAACCCGGGGAAACACACACCAAAGCGATTTCTGTGTGTGCGCTGCCAGCACCGACCTGCTCTCGGCACCCCAGCCAATGCCCCCGCCGTCCTACGTGCTCGCTAGCGATGCATGCCTGAAAAGTGATGACAGTCCATCAAGGTTTTGGTGCTTTACTAACGTGCAAATAATGTGGCGGTGTAAATAATAATAAACTGTAAACAACCCGGCATTATTTATTTGCCCGTGAAAACCAGTGCCCAACAAGTATCGGTTAAGCTTTAAACGCCTGTAATAAAATTCTAATTTTTCACATAATGTCTTTTACAATAGGGGACGTTGCACTAAACCAGCCCGATATGTGTGTCTACCGGCGTGGGAGAAAGAAGCGAGTGCCGTACACAAAACTGCAGCTTAAAGAACTCGAGAATGAATATGCCATTAACAAGTTCATTAACAAGGACAAGAGGCGAAGGATATCCGCAGCCACAAACCTGTCTGAGAGACAAGTTACCATTTGGTTTCAGAACAGGAGGGTGAAGGATAAGAAAATAGTCTCCAAACTGAAAGACAATGTATCTTGATCTATTAGTTGCGGACAGTGATGGATATATAAAATCAATTTACGACCAGCTAAAGACTTTTGGAAAGACTTCATTGAAAATATATTTAAATTTTTTTTCTCCTTCCAGCGGCGGCGAAATTGCGGGAATTGTTTTCCATGAAAGTCAGCGTTTTTCTCTCAGTGGAAGGGAGTGCTGACAAATCTTGAATTATAGTTCTGTTTCTTCCTTTTGAAAATAATAATAATATTAATATTAATTATATTTTCTGTTCTTCCCTCTAGGCCAGTATAAACGAATTTAAATATGTTGAACGGTTACAGTTATAACTTTCTTAAATGCTTAACTCTTTGGGGGGTTTTCTGTAGTTTTTTTTTTTTTCTCTGAACAACAGCCAGTGCCAAAAAGTGTCAGTTTTGATTTGGTATCGTAAACTTCAAAACACGCCGAGTGAAAAAAAAAAAAATCAATCGGAAAATGCAAGAAAGCCGGAGTCCGGACCCGTGGCAGCACCCGGCTGCTGCCAAAACCCGCCGAGCCCACCGGGACCCGGAGAGAATTACGAATTTCGTGGAGGGGTAACGTCTGCAGCCGGATTTTTAATTGCTTTTTCGAGGGAGGGAGAATCTCTCCGAGCAGTTGCGGGGCGCAAAGCACAGTCCCGGGCATATCCCATCGCACTCCCCGCTTCGACAGTTTTGGGTTTGGGTTTGGGTTTTTTTTTGGTTGGTTTTTTGTTTTGTTTTGCGGTTTTTTTTCCGCGATTTCGTTTTCAGTGGAAGGATTTCATATCCCCCGGTTGAAAAAGGAGCCGCCTGTTCCCGGGAAGGGGCGCTTCGGGCCCGGGCGGGCGCTGCCGGCCGCCGGGGCTGCGCGGCTGGGCGCTCCGCGGAGGCGCAGGTCGGGGCACCTCGGGGAAGCGCTTTCGGCGGGACTGATGGGTCAGCTCGTCCTGCAGCCAGGGGAGAGGCTGCCGCTACAGAGGTGTGTATAAACCTGCGCAGACCTTGTGTAAAATGCCCGCTCTAGCCTGTTTGTCCGGACAAGCACAAGACTCTTCTCCTTCCTCCCGCCACGGCGCTTAAAAAAACCCAACCAAACAAACAAAAAAACCCCAAAACTCCTGGTCGGAGAAGTGAAGTTCACCGCTAACTTTTAATTTACAAAAATAAACGGGTGTTAATGACAGAAGCAATAAATAAGGAATTTCAAAAGATGCCATAATTTATATAGGCCGAAAGGCTAGGATTTTGTCGATTTTTTTATTATTTTAAACCTAGTGTGCATGTTACGATATACACAGGGTGATCAGACACGCTAGTCAACTACTAGGAGAGAGAAGCGATATCCTCTCTGTTAATGTGCCTCGTCTAATTATTAAAATGTGTGTGTTCCGAACTAGTATTATTTATTATAATGTACTATTGCTCTAAACACTTTGATTACCAGTGTATGTGGGTAAGACATACGGTAAGACTATTTCTCCATAAACCATATCTTTTTCTTTTCTTGTCCTAAAGCCTGCTTTTACTTTGTGTTGGAAATATGGGCTGAACTTCCTAGCTGTTAACGATGTTGCCAAACTGTTCCTAAAGCATCTTTAATAAAACGATTTCTTTTCGATATGTATAAAAAGAGAGGAAGAAATTCGCCTTCTTTTTGCAGCAGGGCGTTTCGCGGGCTCCAGGCTTGCCTGGGAGCTTCCCGGGGCCACTTTTGGGACGCCGTTCTTGGGAAAAGAGAGGTAGATACGAGGCGAGGCGCGTTAAAGGAGGCAGAGGCGTATCCGAGAGCGCCTCGCCGCTGGGGAAGGGGTTTTTGGGAGGATGAAATGCTGCCGGCTTGAAACACCAGGGGTGGGAGGCAGGGGAGAGCCCGTCTCTCCCCTCTCCCCCCGAGCCCGGCTCCGCCTGCCCGGTGCCCGGTGGCCGGGGGCGGCCCAGCGCCCCTTTGTTTTCCCCTCCCAGGCCGACCCGGCACTTGCCGGTGCCCCGGCGGGGCTCCGCGGCGGCGGGGGCGGCCGCCCCGGCCTCCGTTCGCTCCGCAACCGGCTGGCTCCAGCGGGGGGTTATCTTCCGCCTCCTCCGCCTTCTTCCTTCCCCTTTCTCTTCCGCTTGAGCGCTCAGGGCTTTTGAGGCGTTTTTTTTCCCCCGAACGGACGAACAAAGGTGCGTTTCGGAGCGTTGCAGGTTTTACGGCGAAGCGCATTTCTGTTTGATTCTGGAGACTCGTGGGGCACATCACTGAAGTACCTGGAAGAGCCCTCTCTGCCGACGCAGCCTTGTTTTCTCTGAATGTTTTAAATTCTTCTTTCCCCACCCTTGCCTCCCCCCCCGCCCCCCAGCCACACACACACTGCGCTCCTCCTAATTCTGGAGAAGCTTTTCCTCCCAGTGAGCCTCCCCGCCGACGGAGGGCCGGGCACTGCCGGAGCCGTTGTGTTTCCCGGCCGCGGAGCCGTCGCGGGCTGTTCCCTTCCTCCTTCCAGGCTTAACCTTTGGCTTTGCCGGTCTCCGGGCTCTCAGAAGACGCAGCTTTGCCACGGCCAAAGCTCCCTTCCCGGGGCAGGAGGAAACCCGAACTGGCTGGCAAATCGGTACCAGATGGAGAGGAGTCGCCTTTTAATCTCGGAGTAACAACGTGCACAAGCAGTAAGCAAGCGGCAGCTACAGGCAGGAGGAAGGCGAGCCCGGGGCAACGGGCCGGGGCGCGTCAGCCCGCCCACCCAGCGGCGCCGATTTAAGTTTTCTACGCCCGGAGCTGGGCCACTGACGAGCGCTATTCAGAATCCCCGTGCCCGGGGTCCGGGCTCTGCCCGGGACGCGCACGGCCCCGGCCGGGCCCCGGCGC